GTCCAGGAGGAAGGCGCTATGGGAGGGTGAGTGAGAAAGGGGCACAAGAGAGCAGTGAAGACCCCCAAAATGAGGAGAGGTACTGCAGAGGGGGGAGGAGCCCCGAGACCACTCCTTGTGCTCCCCCCTTCACATACACTATGGCAGAGCCATACACATACAACTACACAGGAACACATCACAGCCAGAGGGGCCCACGGGGAGGCCCGGGAAATGCCCAACATGGTAATTATACACGACCGTCACTCAGCTGTTTCAGATGCTCATGGACACACACACCCCACCCCTCACAACCCACACAGACCCACAATCACATTCCATCACACACACACACACACACACACACACACACGCACTACACTGCCCATCTCACAACCCCACTGCCCATTACACACACGTGTAATGAAACACACATAGAACACACACCTCACACACCCCATCACACACTACAGCAGACCCACAATCGCAGGCATAAAGTGCCATATAGACCAGCACAACACTACACCACAAACTCACACACTGCACACTCCATCACACCTCGTTTGTACCGCCTCTCGTGGAGACCCCCACCGTGAAACCCATTCCCCAACGCACATCCTCACTCAACACCATGGCACACACACAGGTCTCACACTGCCCCCGCACACGCTGTGGCGTGTCACTGTGGCACAGTCACACAACATCCCAGATACCATCATACACACGCCTCTCCAATACATCTGGGCACGAGCAAAGGCCCACAGTGCGAACACGCAACCTGCTGCCATCCAGTCGATTCCGACTCATAGTGACTCTATAGGACAGAGTAGAAATGCTCCACAGGGTTTCCAAGGAGTGCCTCGTGGAATCGAACTGCCAACATTTTGGTTAGCAGCAGTAGCTCTTAAGCACTACGCCACCAGTGTTTCAACGGTTGCTAATTGTAAATGACAGACCAAAAGTTGCACATAGACTCACACACACCATGATCATTCACAGACACAAATCACGACACCATCCCACATGCCTCCCACACATGCACACAGCTCATATTACAGCACAATCACATACCCCTTGTTGCACCTCTATACTCACCCAATGACCCCACACACCACCCACCCATCACAGTACGTGGTTGCACACACACAGAGTGACAGCTGGCACCCACACCCCAGGCCTGCCACATACACACAACTCCCAGGGGATCAGCCGCCCCACTGGAATCTGAGGAGTTGGGGGATCCCACCTGTACCCCAACACCAGTTCGCTCCATGAGGAACACTCCTTAGGGATGGTAGAAGGGGCAGAGAGAGAAGTTGTCCCTATAGTTTTCTCAAAATGTGGATGTCCTCCCCATCTATGGGAGTGGAGGTGTGGGGGACACAGGCAAGGGACGGGGGTGATCTTGGTGTATGCGGGTGAGTGAAGGGTAAGAATCTGGTCAGGGAAATGTGCGAAAGGCTGAAGGTTACAGTGAAAGACAAAAATAGAGAGAGAGAGAGAGAGAGAGAGAGAAGTTAATCCAGAGCCACAGAGAGACGGCCAGGAACAGAGACAGACAGAGAGCAGAGGGAGGCAGGGAGTCTTGGGTTCCCTGGCTTCCCCCAGAGTCCAGGTCTCATCACCTGCCAGCCAGCCTGTACTCTGACTGTCCCCATCCCTTCAGCTGTCCCTTGTTGCCATGGTAACAAGGAGGCCAGCCTGTGCAGCAAAGGAGGCTGGACCTGCAGAGAGGGCCTGTTGCCATGGAGACTGAGGGAAGGGGAGGAGCAACATCTTCTAACCCAGGTGCATCGCCCCCAGGCCCCCCCCCCAACTCTGGCCCCTTCCCAGGGAAG